GGCAGAATTTACGAAACCTTCTTTCATATTGACAAGACTTTCCATGAATAAAATTAAATGGAGCTCAAAGATTAGTATGATCAGGCTGCACATGGATAGTTAAGGACTGAACCCTATTCCAGACATCATTTTCTGCTGCCTGTTACTGTAAACATGTCTGAGATTGTTCTTATACTTATCATAATCATCATCACCATCATCATCATTTTTTGTGGAACAACTTATTATTACAGTATATATACCCTGCTGTCTCCATTACTTTTCTCATATATAACCTAAAAGTTATGGACTGTCACCTTGTTTTTTAAATGTTGACTTGCACTTAACTGTTAATATTTATTGCAGGAAATTAAGAAGCATGACGTTCAGCTAGTATTCAATGATGCAATCATCATACAAAATCTAATGCAAGTCAGTTAACTGGTTCAAACATTAAATTTCCATTTCTGTTATTCAAGTTGGTGTTGAAATGCATTATTGATGACAGAATCATTAAACTGGTCCTTGAGTGCTATAAGGACCTTCACATATATACCTATGTCCTTTTATGTCACTCAGTTCATCACCATCATCATATTCATGCATTAAGCCATGCATAGTCTGTTCCAACCTCCTACACGGTATACTGGTCCCTCCATCTTAACTGTGTGTGTCCTATGTTTTGTCATCCTACTGGGTTGTATGTTACAATTTTCTTTGGAATTCATCTATCTTACATTAAAAATATTAAGATCTTCTCAACTTAATCCAGTTTGGTTCTTCCTAGTGTAGCCTGCTATGTTCCTCAAAAATTTAATTTATGCAGTTTCAATTTTTGCTTCCTGTTTGCCTTTGTTACAGTCCAAATTTCAGATCCATCTGTATGTAGAGATACCACCACAGCTTTATAAAATGTTATCTGTGCATCTTTTCTTGTTTGTTATTTAATGTTCTTCTTACTGTGCTGCACATTTGATAAAATCTATTAATGTTTATTTCTAAATCTGTTTGTTCCTGTAATTGAATAACCTGAGTAATTAAAAGTATTTGGGGCACATGGTAGTGCAGCTGGTTGAGGCACTATGCTACAAGATAGGTCATGGGTTTGATTCCCAATGAGGTCATTAGATTTTTCCAATTAGCCTAATCCTTCAAGCCACACTATGGCACTGGGGTTGACTCAGCCTCCAACCGAAATGAGTACCAGGAATCTTCCTGGGGGTGAAGGGCAGCTGACACACCACCATGAGCTGATCATCTAGAAAATGTGGGAGCCTCAAAATCTCATAACCATATGTGACCCCATGACCTGATACATGGATAGCTTTAAATTTTTATTAAAACTATTTTCTTGTTCAACTGTGTGATATTTTTCTTCTTGTATTCGTCTTTCCTTTCACAGCCGCTGTCTTCTTCTTATTTATTGAAATTTTCAAATTATATTCTATATCCATATTGCTTAGTGAATATATTGCTCTTGCTGGGGCTACTCAGTTTAAAGTTCAAATCCATTTGCCATACAGAGACATGGAACTGTTACAACTAAAGGTCTGTGATGAAGGACTGTTATTACACTGACACATATATATTGTCACATGTTGGGTATGTAACGCGACAAATAACTTCACGCCGTATTGGATATAGCGAATTTATTTCACATTCACTCTTACACTTACACAATTTACAATTTCACAATTACTGCCATCGGCAGTATCACAATTACGTCTTCTGATGTACGTAGTCCTTTCCATTTGCTCAATGCAACTCAACTCGTAGCTGCTGGACTTCACTGGACTCAGCGACTTCATGATCCACACTGTGTCACTTCTAATCACACACTCTCTAGTAACTCTGGTTACACTGACAAATACTCCTCGTTAGGTAGCTTCCGCACTGACAACACAGAAAACAGTTACGTGATAGCTACCACTGTTGCGTGATGTCATGTTTACCAATTGTCAAGCAACAGTCTCTGCACGGAGTCGCCTGTTGCCACATAGTAACCGCGGTGTCCCCTGTTACGTCACCGCGGGAGGCGACGGAGTGTTTATCGAGGGTTGCATAATAATGGAAGGGGTGGGGGATATATGACGTCACTCGCAAGACCGCAGAGTTCACATGACCCCTACTTCCTGTTGCGCCATCCACGTTACACTGTTCCCTTCTAAAGGTTGTTCGTCCCGAACAGCCTAACAGTACATCCCCGTTCCTTTTCTTTCAAGGCTGTGCTTGCTGCGTCTTCTTTTTGTCTGGCTACTCCTCTTGCAGTGACTATTCTCCTGCTGTTACATCCGTTCCCTTCTTAAGATTGTTCGTCCCGAACAATTCCATGGTCCAGTGTCGTATGACATTCAGTCCTCACATTCATCCATTACACATTCACTCTCGCTGGGGAGGCCGGTACTTCTACATTACTGGCTCCTCCTCTGCTTGAAGTATCTTTTTCCATTTTTGAGGGGGTCGACACCTCCAGAAGGTCCAATCCTTGTCTTGTCATAGGCCCACAGAAGATCCGACTATTTGCCTTCTGATTTTCATGCTGTCAATCTCGTAGATGGTCTTCTTATGAGTTCTCCCTCCCAGGTGCGATCGCTGTCCTGATCTACACCCTCCAATGGCGTTCTTGGTTGGCACCTTTATTCTCATTTTGCATTGTGGGCCTTTCCAGCATCTATTTTCCTTTGTTCATCCTTTCCAGGTTTCTTGTTCAGCATTGATCCTGGTTGAATATTTCTTTACGAAATCTCCCTTGCGCCATGTCACACCTGCACAGCTAGTTATATTCCTGTCGGCCGCCAATTTGTGCCACGGTCCACACTTTCCTTGGGTCACAGATTTCCTGAAGATGTTCGTTTTGCGCCATGCCACTGTTGCACAGCAGGACACCTTCCTGCTGGTTTTCTTCTGCCATGCCACTTCCACATGGCGGCTCGTATCTCTGCAGGCGACGGCCAGTCTTCTTCAGTACCCACAATCTCCTCGGGTCAGTTTCTTTGGCTCTCCGCATCACCCTACAATTTGCTTCTTGCCCCTATACCGCTTCTTCTGTCCTTTGACTGGTTTCAGTACAGCGTCTTCAACAGCAATCTCTCGTTGTTGGGCCACCTCAGGTTTCCTGTCCACTGAGGTTGGCTCTTCTTCTAGATGTACCTCCATCTCTTGGCAGGCTATCATCTCTTTTCTGGTATTCATTGTCTCAAACCGCATTGAGCAGATTTCTTCTTGCCAGGCTTTCATTCCCTCTTGCAGTTTTTCTTGGCTAACTAGCCACTTCCCTTGGCCAGTCTCCATTATGGCCAGCAACATAGCTTGGCTGGTTCTAATTTCCTCTAGCAAGGCATCTTCTTTTTCTTGGCCAACTCTGATTTCCTTCAGCAGGAGTTCCATCATCATTACTGTGAATCCATTTTGTGGAAGTATTATACTCGATGCACAATAATTTGTTCTAATTTGTGGAGTGTTTAAGTTCATATCCCACTTCTGACACCAAATTTTCATGTTGGGTATGTAACGTGACAAATAACTTCACGCCACCTTGGACCAAGCAAATTTATTCCACTTGCTCTTACATTTACACAATTTACAATCTCACAACTACTGCCACTGGCAATATCACAATTACTTCCACTGCTCTCGGTGACTTCACGATCCACACTGCATCACTCCTAATCACACACACTCTGCTCACATACTACTCAGCCAGCTTTTTATACTGTTCCCTGTTGCCTCGTGTTAACTGCGGTGTCCCCTGTTACATCA